GCCTGAACCCCAAAAGCACAAGGACAAAGGTGAGGAAGATGCAGGAGACCACTGCCACAGCCACCACCAGGTACAGAGTGAGGCCAGAATCGTCTGGGTTGTCTGAAGGCTTGAGACTGCCCAGGTCGGCCAGGACTTCAGGAATACTGTCAGCCACAGCCACAGTGAGAGTGACGGAGGCTGAGAGAGGGGGCTGGCCGTGGTCCTGGACCACCACTACTAGGCTCTGCTTTAGCGCGTCTCTGTCCAGCAGGGCCCGTACAGTTCGCACCTCACCTGAGTGCAGACCCACGGAGAAAAGCCCTGGCTCACTGGCCTTGAGCAGGCGATAGGATAGCCAGGCATTCTGGCCTGAGTCTCTGTCTACCGCCACCACCTTTGTTACCAGGTACCCGGGTTCTGCTGAGCGGGGTGTCAGCTCTACACCAGTGGAACCATCTGTGGGGAGGGTGGGATACAGGATCTCAGGAGTGTTGTCATTCTGGTCCAGTACAAACAACTTCAGCGACACGTTGCTGCTGAGTGGAGGGTTTCCACTGTCGCTGGCTGTCACCAGTAACTGCAAGTCTCGGATCTGCTCATAGTCGAAAGATTGCAGTGCATACAAAACACCTGTGTCCGAGTTGATGGAGACAAATGATGATAGGGGCGCCCCCTGGAGGGTGTTCTCAGTCACTGAGTAAGTGACCTGAGCGTTTTCCTGGCTGTCCGGGTCGTGTGCAGTCAATGAGAAGATGGAGGCACCTCTCAGGTTGTTCTCTGGGATATAGGCTGAGTAGGAGGCATGAGGGAAAGTAGGCGGGTTGTCGTTAATGTCTGCCACTTGCAGGGCAATGTGAGTTTCAGTAGAAAGAGGCGGAGTTCCTAGATCTGAGGCCATCACTGTGATATTGTAGATAGAGACTTTTTCTCGGTCCAAATATTTCCACGTTACCAACCTATAGTAGTTATCTATTGACTTTTCTAACTTGAAAGGTAAATTCTCATCTGTGTAACAGTCAACTTGGCCATTCTTCCCAGAGTCTTGGTCATGCACATTCAAGATGGCAATTACTGTTCCAGGAGGAGAATTTTCCAACACTGGGCTAAACAAAGATGTAATGATCACTTCGGGTCTATTATCATTTACATCTTCCACTAAAACGAGCACTTTGGTCCTCCCCAGAAGCGCCCCTACATCTTCAGCTTGTATTTCCATTTCATAAAATGAACATTCTTCATAATCTAGACTTTTTGCTGTTGATATCTCCCCAGTTTTTTCATTAAGTTGGAATAACAGAGATTGTTTTTCATTAATTTTCCGGAATTTATATGCCACCTTTCCATTGGCTCCCTCATCTGGGTCGCTGGCTGCTACAGTAAGCAGCTGGGTGCCCGGCGGCACGTTCTCAAGGACTTTCACTCTGTAAATAGGTTGAGCAAAAACCGGGGCATTATCATTTGTATCCAGCACTGTCACCTGGATGCGCACTGTGCTCGAGCGACGCGGGTCGCCGCCATCCGAGGCGGTGAGGACCAGGTGGTGAGCAGCTTCTTCCTCTCGGTCCAGCGCGCTCTCCAGCACCAGCTCTGGGCTTAAAGTCCCATCGTCTCCAGTTTGCACATCCAGGGAGAAGTGATGATTGGGGCTGAGCTGGTAGCTCTGGAGAGAATTCACGCCCACATCCGGATCAACAGCTTCTGGGAGTGGATAACGTGCTCCAGGGACAGCTATTTCATTAATTTTTACTTCCAGATCTTTGACCTGGAATTTCGGATTATTATCGTTAATATCAGTTATTTCTATTTCTATCCCAAAGAGTTTTCCTCTATCCTCAACCAAGATGTTAATATTTATCAGACACCGGGATCTCCGCGCGCAAAGCTCCTCCCGGTCTATCCTGTCTGCGGTGATCAAGCTGCCACTTCTCGGATTTAGAGCAAAAAGCTGTGTCCTACCTCTGGAGACGATGCGGATTCCATGTTTCACCAGTTCCCAGGGCTCCAGTCCCAAGTCCTTGGAGATATTACCCACGAAGGAGCCTTTGTCCGTCTCTTCTGGCACGGAGTAGCGAATCTGTCCAGTCCCGAAATCCCATAGCGTCCCCAGCACCGCGCACAGCAGGATCAGCTGGCTGCCTCCTCCGTGATTCTTCAGAGCGGCCATTGTTACTCACTGCAGAATTCTTTCAGAATCTTCGCTGTTGCATATATGTATTGTTTAGGTTTTTGCCGCAGCAATGGAGATCATAATCTTACAGAAAGGCGGAGTGCGACAAAGTAGGTAAGGAGTTTCGCTGCAGCCCAGCAGTTGCTTTGTGGGATCTGCTGGTCTTTGCGATGTGTAAGCCCTGAGTATTGGATGGCATTTTGGTTGCATTTCTCTCCCAGTAGGGCAACAGCGGCGCTTAGAGTCCTAAGCAGTTATTGCACTTAGATACAGATCACTTCATATGTAATACTGCTTGGAATACTGTGAAAAAAAAAAAATACTACTTGCTTTTAATTGACTTGTTTTGAATTTGTTTAATTCCCCCTAAATGAATATTTTAAAAGAAATTACCAAGGAGAGTGGGATGAAGTGGGGTGCTTTTATTAAGTATTAAATGATCAGATTGTTGGGTTAGCATTCCATTACATTACATTTCTGGAATACATTCACTCCTAAAAAATATAATTTCATTTCTGTCGTGCTGTAAGCTTTCTTGTAAATATCTTCAATGTATATTATCAAATAAATAAGAACTCCAGGTGTCACTTGAAATGAACTTTAGGAGAATACAACTGGCCTATTTGAGATGATTTACTTAGAAGTTGTTTTATTTGTTTTAAACTAATTAACCATGATAGAAGCTTTCTATAGAGTTGTTGTTTTTAAATCTTCTTTCTGAATACTATTTTTATGACACATTGATGTTGTTAAGTAACTCTTGAGAAATTTTAATAGAATATATGTTTTACAACAGCAGTTTATGAAAAATTATATATTGTTTTGCTATTTTATTTCAATTATTTGTATTTTTCTGTTTGAATAGAAAGTACTTGAAAGACACAAGGGCGTATTCAACAGAAAGTCAATCTCCATCTCATTCCTTCCGCCAAAGAGAGATGATTATATTCTTTTAAGCCTACATCAGTTTGTCAATTAAAGAAGCACAAAATGAAAGGAACACATTATGATTACTAAGAAGTCAAACAATAAACGTGACCAGAAAAAATATCTCTTTTCTTCAGCAGTTTGTAAAGCGGTCATTAACTGAAGCAGTTGCTTAGGAATACCCAGAAATAGGCTCATATAATGTAGTATGCTCTATTGTATATACTGTATGTGCATATTAGATTGTTGGCTTTGTCTGAAAATTTGAAAAATTCAAGATTGTATTTCTCTCCTAGAGACAGAATGATGAGAACACTACTAGTGTGGAGCTGCAAAGGAGATAGTTAAAAATATACATATTTGAAGTATGTGTAAGAGAAGCAACAGAGGCAAGGCAGTTTATCTTTTCTTTGATGGAGGGGCCAGTTGAATGAAATTCGACATATATTAACCCTGAAAAAACGTATGCTGCAAGGGAACAGAACCTGCTTTTTCCCTTCTCATGAACATAATGGATCTTTTGCTACACAAAATGATCACATACACACACATACACACACACATGTGCACACACATTGCAGAAAATTACAAGGGGTCCATGCCTATAAAAATCCAGTTCATGATACCTTATTCTAGGAGCTTTTGAAACAAAAAGGATTAGTACGGAAATCATGCCAGTTAAATTAGTGAAGGTAACTGGGCATGGGGGCTCACACCTGTAATCCCAATGCTTTGGGAGGCCAAGCTGGGAGGATTGCCTGGGGCCAGAATTTTGAGACTAGCCTGAGTAACATAACAAGAAGCTATTTCTACAAAACAAACCAACCCAACCAAACAAACAAAACTAAAGAAATTAGTCAGGTAGGATGTTACTAGTCTGTAGTCTTAGCTAGAGGAGGTGGGAGGATCACTTGAGTCTAGGAGTTCTGGAGATTGGGGAGAGCTATAACAGCACTGTACTCTACCCTGGGTGACAGAGTGAGACCCTATCCCAAATAAAAGTGAACAAAAATATCTAGTTTTATCTTAGATTCCTTTGCTTTAAAGGTTTATTTAAATGAGGATTGTTACATTTATAGCATGGCCAAACTGAAAAAATGTTCATCATAAAGTAGGAAACAGGAAGAAAAAAGTGTAGAAAAATCTCATTCACTTTTTAGGACAGAGCCATTAACATTGTCTAATGTATTCACTTTGTAGGTAAAATGATCATTAGTTTTAAATCTGAGTATCAGAGAGAACTCCTATATGCTATCAGATTGCTCCTACTTCACTCCTCCTTTGAAGAATGGTACAACAACTTTTTAACACACTATAACTTTCTTAAGGGCCAGGCATGGTGGTTAACACCTGTAATCCTAGCATTCTGGGAGGCCCAGGCTTGGATTGCCAGAGCTCAGGAGTTCAGGACCAGTCTGAAGCAAGAGTTAGATCCATGTCTCTAAAAATAGCCAGGTGTTGTGGAGGGCACCTGTAGTCCCAGCTACTCAGAGGCTAGAGAATTGATTGATGGCTTGGTACCCATAGCACAGCGGTTACAGCATCAGCCAGATGCTCAAGCCCAGCCGGGGCCAGCTAAACAACAATGACAACTGTAACAAAAAACAGCTGGGCGTTGTAGCAGGCACCTGTAGTCCCAGCTCCTTGGGAGGCTAAGGCAAGAGAATTGCTTAAGCCTAAGAGTTTGAGGTTGCTGTGAGCTGTGATGCCATGGCACTCTACCGAGGGTGACATAATGAGACTCTGTCTCAAAAAAAAAAAAAAAAAGAGAATTGCTTGAGCCCAAGAATTTGAGGTTGCTGTGAGCTATGATGCAATCACACTCAACCCCAAGGCAACTGAGTGAGACTCTGTCTAAAAAAAAAAAAAAAAAAACTTTCCTAAAACAACTCAGGAGATCTGAAAATTGTCTATTTTCTTGTGACTATGTATATCTTTCTGTGAAACAAAGAACTGGGTAGACAATGAGAAGTAGGAAACTCACCTGACAGGAAGTTGAGTCACTGGAATCACAAAGTGGAAATAAGGCCCCAGATGGATCACCACAAAGTATGTCTTGTCCTGAACTCAGTTGCTCACTACTTTTTAGAAAATTAAACTCCGTCTTTCCGGTGTGTGCAACGCACAGATTGTAGGAATAAGGCAAAGTGCCCTCGCTGTAGTTGGGGGGAAC